GAGAGAGAGAGAGAGAGACAGAGTGAAATGGAAAGTTGCATCAGGTGATTTGATGTGTGACAGAGAGAGTGATTAAGGTTGAACATTAGCTTCTCCATCCTGCACATGAACCTGTTTCTGGAAGAGAGAAGTAGTTGCTTCCTTGTGTGTGAGGCCACAGACGACGTGAGAGAATCAGGAAATCAAAAAAAAACTGCAGCGCAGGTTGGTTTTGGTGATGCAACCCTGCTGCTGCCTCGATGTTTTCTTCACCTTCCTGTTGCATGGTCAGCGTTTAACTTTGAATCCCTCCTGCTTGTCTACTGGGATCTTTAGAGTCCACAAGTCCGTCATAACATCATAATGATTTTTTTACCAACACAGACTGTCGTGGTAATGTTCTTTTTAATGCCCTTTTGGATTTTGGAAATGAAATAGCACGATGCTGTTAGTTTGCATAGTTTGTCAGAAAGTATTAATAGAATTTGATCAAAGTGTTTTGGTGTCCTACAGCAGGTATAAACAGGAAATCACTTTCCCACAGTTGGTATTTTCTGTATCAAGCCTGACGAAATGTTCCATTCCACAAATTCTCCATTTCTCTCCTCGTCACTCAGTTAGAAAGGCGAGAGCAGTGTCCGACGACGCAGCCTCAACAAGAGCTTCATTGATTGCGACAAACAACTGCATCACCGTCAGCATCAAATCTATCAGCTCTTTGTCCTACATCCGAATTTGATGTCACTGTGGTGCCATGTTTATCTTGTCCACGCAGGAAGCCGCGTTGACCAATGGCACGCCGGTGGAGACGTCCAGCCCCGCCTCGGCGTCCTCGCTCTTCAATAGGCTGCAGCTGGACGACGACCCGGAAGCAGACGGCCTCGACACTTACGTCTCCACGGAGACCCGAGACCTTTTTGTCACGGTCGATGACCCAAAGAAGCATGTCTCCACCATGGAGACCTACATCACCTACAGAGTCTCCACCAAGGTCGGTTTAGCCCAATAATCCCACGATTTAAAACTTGGTGGTGTGTTCAAGGCACGTTCTTCATTGTCTAGTAACGCAGTTTGTCAGTGCAAAGTTTACTGGACTCTTAAAGATTGAGCTTTGTGTCACTTTATTCAATGATCACTAACGTTGCAGTTACGAGCCAAGACTTGTTGCAATGATGCAACACAGGCAGACATGCAGAAGAATGTTTGTTATCCTTCAACTTGAAGTATTTGTCAGGAGCTTAGCACATATTTGTTAAGAGTCAAGTACACTGAATGTAAATATAACTCTCGCGGCGATTCCTCTTTTTGACAGCTGCTCTATTTGCTTTTCTCTTCACAACTATGTACAGAGTCTTAATTCCTTACTCAAAGTTGCATGGTTAAAAAATACACTAATATGTAATGTTACCGTAGCATAATTAATAAGGCCAAGTGGTCAGTTTTACCCTTGAGTCCCCACAATAATAATAATAAGAAAATTATGACGACCAGATAAAGTGAAGAGGCTCTTTACAGCTTTATTGTTGTGGTTGTTAAGATCTGGATGTTGTGTGGAAAGTGAAAAATATATTTTGGTCCGAGTCGATCATCAGCTGCAACAAACCGGAGGACACTCGATCCTTCTCGACTCAGAGGCCGGAGACAAACATCACAACCCAACATGAACAATGTGTAAATCGAGAAGATGTGTGTGTGTGTTTCAACGCTAGATTGTTAAGAGTTCGAGAGTGTGTGCGTGCGTGTGTGCATGCGTGTGCGCACTGTGTGTGTGTGTGTGTGCGCTGTGTCAGCTGTATTTCAAGGTTAATATGCATGTCCAGTAATCCTATATGATCTGAGACAAACAGAGACATATTCTCCCTCTAGTGTACTGAGCAAATATATGAACTCTGCTTTACTGTACCTGCAAGTACTCTGTCGTTTATACACAGTGAAAAATAAACCTCAATAAATAATTATAAATACATTTATGATAATGATACAAAGGTAATTCGCTGCTACAGGAAAAAAAACCTACGACGCCATTTTTTTACGCTCTTTAAATTAACGTCTCAAACGCGTGTGTTTCCTCCTCCAGACGACACGGATAGAGTTCGATCTGCCCGAATACTCCTTGCGGCGGCGCTACCAGGACTTCGACAGGCTGAGGATCAAGTTGGAAGACAGCCAGCCGACCCACCTCATCCCAGTAGGTCAAATGAGACACGCGGCCGACTGTCCCGCTTCCTCTCCTCTGCCTCTCCTCACTCCTCTTCTTCTTCCTTTCCGCTCTTTTCTCCAGCCGCTGCCTGAGAAGTTTGTGATGAAGGGCGTGGTCGACCGTTTTTCAGAGGAGTTTGTGGAGACGAGGATGAAGGCTCTGGATAAGTTCCTGAAGCGAGTTGCGGACCATCCCGTCCTCTCCTTCAACCCGCACCTGAACGCTTTCCTGACTGCCAAGGTAAGACCTGTTCTTTTATTATCCACAATCACTCACCTCTGAACATGATGGTCGACCACAAACTTGGCTTCTGCCTCTTTACGTGTTTGTGTCGCTCACCAGTTCTGCCACCAGTCACAGAGTTTCTCTCTAAGTGTCTGAGACACAAGACTTTATTGATCCCTGTGGGGAAATGAGGTTGTTGCTGCAGTAAAATAATTGGAATCAGAAAGTTGAGCGCAAGCACATGAGGGAAGAAATCAACCACGTAAAATGGGTCATAAAAGACTTAAGGTGATAAAATAGAGGAGAAGCATTCGTGGTGTTTTGTCGACATACAGGTGACGGTTGTTGTTTCTGTATCTGCAGGACCTGAACAAGCGTCAGGGTCTCGCCCTGCTCACCAAAGTGGGCGAGTCGGTGAAGCACGTGGCCGTCGGCTACAAGCTGCGGGCGCGGCCGGCCGAATTCTGCACCATGGGCGAGTACCTGGACACTTTCAACCAGAAACTGGGAACCATCGACCGCATCGCCCAGAGGATCCTCAAAGAGCAGTCAGGTATCGGACCGACGGAGGAGACTTGTCATATAAATACACGCCCGTGTCTTCACGAGGTGGTGACGTGGGCTGGACGTAAACCAGTTTCATGTATGGTGAAACTAGTAATGCTAAGGGTTATAAGCTTGTTTTCTTGCTAGCAGCTATATGCCTCTATGATTCTGCAGTGTGGACTTTTCAGTCCTGCAATGTTTGTTTGGAGAGAAACCCCCCCCCCACAGACCTTTGGGCCTTGTGGGTGCAAGCGATTCTGCTGTGTGTGAAATCCTCAGCGTCACCAGCTGCTCCAGGGTTTTAGATGCATTGCTTCACTTCTGGCCTGAAAAGCTGGAGCTGAAACTAAATGTTCTTGTGTTAAGTGATAAGATGAGAAGTCGTGAAGAGGTAATCAGAGCTGTAGATAGTGAAGGACTATGAGCTGACACAGAGTTTGTGAAAACACGAATGCCGTGCATGCTTTACTCAGCGGCCTGGTGTTGGCCATCAGCCTCTTTGGTGTAATTTACAAATATAGATTTTACAGTTGAATGTGCCAGTGCCTCAATATCGCCTGCATACTTTCAGTGGAATCCACAGGTCATGAAAAAGAAGTTTTAGAACAAAACCAAAACCAAAACCCAGCTTTTCTGTGTTTGTTTTTTTTCCTCTCGCTCATTCTAGAGTACCTAACAGAGCTGCGTGAGTACGGCACTGTGTACTCCAGCTGGGCCAGGTCGGAGGAAGAGCTGCAGCGCCCCCTGGAGGGCGTGGCCAGCTCCGTAGCAACGTGCTGTGGTGCGCTGGAGGATCTGACTGACAACATGAGCCAGGACTTCCTGCCTGTAATCAGAGAGTACGTTCTCTACATAGAGTCTATGAAGGTGAGACTAACGGGGGTGTTGGCTTGTTTCTTTGAGAGCAGAATGTAGATTCATGTTTTAGATTGGTTCTTTCCATGTCATGCTCTTCATTTACTTTATTAAAATGTTATTTTCTTGGTGCAATAAAATAAGTTCAAGGAAATCAGACTCAGACTCTTTTAGCTGAGTCACCTTCGACCCAGAATTAAGGAAATGTCATTAGATTCTGCGTGTGTCACATCATATCTGCACCACCCTCCTGACTCAGCATCTCCCTCCCTCTAAATATTTCTCATATGTCGTCAGTCTCAGAAATAATTACAGTATCTGTAAACGCAACAATGAGGCTGCACGTCTTCTGTCTGATTGCAGAACGTTCTGAGGAAGCGAGACCAGAGCCAGGCGGAGTACGAGGGACGACTAGAAGCAGCCGTGTTGCGCAAACAGGAGGACAGGACGCCCGTAAGCTTCTGTGTTCACACGAGGAAGTTTAAAAAAACTGCTGTGTTCTCTTGTTTTACATAATCTTTCAAAAAAAACCTGTTGAAAGCATAAAATGTGATATTTAACAATCAGGTAGTTAATTATTTTCCCCATTGTCTCATTTCAATGTGCAGCAGATGTGATCTTAGACCGACACCTCCGTGACTCTCGTCCTGTAAAGTGCAGTCTTGTGTTATGTCCCCTCACACCCCCTGTAGCTGTAGTTTTCTGTGTCTTCCTGTAGATGCCTGTGGAGGTCGAGAAATGCCAGGACAGAGTGGAGTGTTTCAACGCTGACCTGAAGGCGGACTGGGAGCGCTGGCAGAGCAACAAGCGGCAAGACTTCAAACAGCTTCTCACCGGCATGGCCGACAAAAACATCAACCACTATGAAAAGGTACGTTTGGTGCTAATCATACGGGTTTCCACTGTCATCACATGAATCCTATTTGTTGAGCCGACACACATCATTAAATACAGGAGTATTACCAGGGTTTCCACTGGGTCTTCAAACATTTTATAACTTGAAAAGTCTGAAATTCATTAAAATATCACGGCAGCTTTTAATTTCGTTAACCTAACTAATGTTAGTAACCTTTTTAAAATGGAACTGATAACTGATGGTCAACAAACCCTTCGGTCAGAATTTACCTCTTTAATCTTGTGTGTGAGAAAGACTGCGGATACCTTCTGTCTTTACCTGGAGTGTATCCAGGTTCATTCTCTACTTGGCTGCTTCATTTTAATTTACGGGAAAGTGATTTGTTAAATAATTATTTGTCGTACTTGACGTAGATCTTAAATTTCTTTAATTATGATCTTATAAATGTTTTAAATTGAACTTGTTGAAACCTGCGGAGGAAAAACGTCCACACTGTGGCTTCGCCGTCACTCTGTAATGAAACGATGCTTCTCCCTCTCTCTCCCTTTCTCCTCATTCCTTTCCTCCGCTGTCCGACTCCTCGTCCGTCTCCGACCTCGGCAGTGCCAGGCAGCGTGGGAGTCGCTCATCACTCTCCTCCAGGACAAACAGACTGAGGACAAAACGAGCGAGACGAACTGAAACATCTCGTGTTTCCCACGTTCCTCCCTCACGCTCACACGCTCTCATGCCAAGGAAACGGACCAAACCGGGCAGCAGCTTGGAACTGCTGGACTTCAGCCCCCTGTTCTCGTGTGAGATGTTTGTACGGAGGGGAAGTCGTCTCTCACGGTGACCTGACCTGCAAAAGAGGTGCGTTCATGGACAGCAGGGAACGAGATACCTACTGTGTACACAGAAACGTTTTTTTCTCATTGTTCTTATTGACTTTTTTCTACTTCATATTTCCAATTAACAGTTAATTGCTGATGCTGTTTGTGTTTATTTAATCTGTTCTCCCCATTTTCACATTGAATAAAACGGGACGGAAAAGCTCCTGATTGATGCATAAAACATTATTTGAAGGCAGATACTGATAGTTCGAGTTGGTGTGAAGTATCTTGAAATAACAAACTATTTGGAGCATCCCCGAGATTTCTCTCCCTTTCTTTTTGTAAAATCCTCTGAGAACATAACACTAAAACTCTTTCGCTTTCTCATCTGTACAAAGGCGTCTTATTGGTTGTAAATAAGACGCCAGTATTTTATAAACCTTTTCTCATTTGTTTTGCATGTTTCCGCTCATGAAATCTTATATTTGCCATTTTCACAAGTGCACAAACTTTGCAGCTGTGGGACTTTTCCTGCAGCCTTTAGAACTCAACTCGGACAGATGTGAATTTTTTGTGGCATTAGAGCGACGTGACCCGGCCTTGTGTTCAACCTGAAGGGAAAAGCAGGACACGTCGCAGCTGATGTCAGAAAGTGATCTTGGTGAAAACCTCTTAGTTCTAGAGAAAGAAATCAGTTTTAGAGGCAAAGCTGCATTGGACAGTGATGGCACCGGTGTGTGTGTCTGAGTGGAATATCGAGCTTCCTTCTGTGTTTGGTCCCACATCTGTTTTTTGTAGCTACGGTGCAGCAGCCCCACCTGGAGGTCAAACTCTTCTCATTTTTTAAAAACTGGTCGCGGAGCAGTAGTGTCACTTTTTATTTTTTTTCAACCAATTGCCTTTTGTATCCACTTCTGTTCTCTTGCAGAAACAAAAGACTCAGATTTGGTTGCTAAATGGCACAACGGGTAGTTTTACCCTCTGGTTCACGCTGTGAACTTTTAGAAACTGAAGCCATTTGTTTCCAGAGAAAGGTTTGTTCGTCAGTTTGAATAAGAATTGCACTATTTTGCAATTTGGTTTGGTTAAATTCTCTGGAACTCATCTGCTCGGTTGTGACTCGTGATGTCGTACAACCGCACAGTCGACCAACATATTCTATTGCGTCACACCGGGTTCCTCTTTTCTCTTGGCTCAAATGGTGCTGATGCGGTTTTGCCTTGAAGGAGAAAATCTAATTCTGTTCTGATATCAGTGTGTGATCCTGACAAGCTTAGCTTAGAGATTCCCTTTTTGTGGCGTGGGTATCACAAGCTGTGGCCTGGTGATGATTGTTTTTCAGTCACATGATCATAATTTCTTTTTGAGGAGTTTCTTTAATGTAATAAGATGCAGATTTTGAGAAATGACAAAGCAAAACAATAATTTCATCATTTTTATTTTTCTTGTTCCGTGTTTCTAGAGGATTTATTAAAACAGTAAATGTCGTTTGTTTTGCGTCTTTTAATTGGTGTCTTTCTATCCGACCGTTATCACTGAGCCCTCTGCTGTAAGACAGAGATGACGTCTGCTTGTGAGTCGGTTTTTAGTCGTCAGCTTCATCTCTTATGTCCTTCCTTCTCCTTGAGCATTAAAATGAATGAGCTACTGCCTCCTCTCACCACCAGACGTCAGCGATAAGAATATTGTTTGTTTTTTGACTGTGTGCATTGGATGGAGTGAGAAGAGTAGCCGTGGTCCAGTGTGGAGGCAGCTTCAGCAGAGAGAACGATGGATGCACTTTTTTATATGTCAAATTACCAAAATACTAAAATCCTGTGTGGAGAGCCAGAGTCGGGGGGTTTTCTGATTCGACTGGCTCATTCACAATCTACTGTACCGGAAGAATTACATTTTAATCTTCAAGCTTGAAAAGCACAGTTTTGCTCATTTCTTACACTTTCCATCCTTTTTTATGTTTAATTGTCACAATTTACATAAACACACACCAACATTAAGCAATTTTCTATAACGGTTTGTCCAAAAGGTCAGATTCACTTTTCAGCTAATAATTATAAAAAGGCAGATATTGTAATCAAGCAAGATGAAAGGAGCGCTTTGGAGTTTTTGACCACTAGGGGTGCTGTGGGGCAGTGTTTCTGATAGGAACGCTGCCATCTTGTGCATGTGGAGCCAGAGTCTGTGCAGTACTGACCGCGGGATTGAGCCACTGGGGCGTGGTCCCATTGATGCACGTGCCCGACCAATCACAAATCAGTCTCAGCTTTCAGTCATGGAAAAATCAAACAGTCGAACAAACATCAGTTTGATTGGCTTCACTTCTGAGGAGCCGTCATGTCGTCCATCCTTCTTTTTCCACTGACTTGATAAAGAACTGAGGAGATTAAGTTACGGATGAAGTGATGGGATATAAATAATAACTTCTCTTCCTTTTCGTTCTGTTTAGTTTACTTCACGAGATCGGTACTTGGTGTTTGTTTACAGCTTATTTTCAGAAAGAGGCGTCCGTGCATCTGCAGACTTTCCTGCTCTGTGGTGTCAGTACCTGCTCTGACCTGACGCAGTGACCCGAGCACACACAACTTCCTCCTGAGTGAAACCTCTTTTTGCTCTATCAGCAATATTCTGTTTATTCGATATCCCTGAGTGGAAGGAATACACGACACAGCTGAGTCTATTTTTGTATCAGACGCAGATTGTTGTTGGGTTCCAGTGAGTATGTGAAGATGAAGCATTTAAAAAGGGATTTTGGAGATTTGTAATGTGTAAATTTGACAGAACCAAAATATGAGGAATGAAGCTTTTATTGTTGGAACGCCGGTGATGGATTTCTGATGAATTTACGTCTCCTCTCTCACAGACATTGTAAAAGCCCCATATTATACTGTGTGCCTGCTGATTTCCTTTTGCACTATTTACTGTATGTAGCTCCAGCCACTGGCAGAAATATCTGCTGAGAAAAACAACAAAGAACTAAATTTACTTTCTTTAAGTTGCCAAAAAAAGAGACAATGTTCTGGTGTCAAATTATTTTGGGTTTCAGTTTGAACGTTTTTTCTGATTCAGGTTAAATCACCAAACAGGGATGAGTATGACGGCTGCCACTGTACGAGCCCGCAAAGAAGCGAGAATTGTATTTTTCTTAAACGTAACAAAAATCAAATGTTTCTAAGCCAAATGTCCCCGTCTATTCCTCCTGTCTTCCGCACGTACGTTCACTCATGAAGAGAATCTGCAGCTCGGAATAAAAATCAAACCTGTACGAAAAGGTGAAACGTCAAACGACAGACGAACGTGTGAATCCAGCTTCGTTTATACTTATTATCTGTTCTCCTAAGTGTGTACTGTTTACGTTCAGAGCTCCTAATGTACATTTGGATGTGAGTAACATCTTGTAATTATAAATAAGCTTGTATATTGATGTTGTTTTTGATGCAATTTATCTTTACCTCAAATGATTTTTTTGGATATATTGGACCAATAATAATAAAAAATAAGATTCCATTTTATGATTATGTTTCTGCTCTGGTTTGATTTTCCTTCTTGTCTTCTAAAAATGTTATTTGCTTTTATTCAGTTAATGTATTTTGAGTGCAAATATGTGCTAATAACACTAATTCATATTTAAAACACAAATTAAACAGGAAGGTTCAGTAAAATGCAATAATAAATAGAATTTTTGTTAAATCTTTTTATTAGCAGAATAAAACAGAATTTTAAATTATGATGCACCCAGTTTCATACAGATGAATTAAAAATCAATCAATGTTTTAAAGAATGTTTATAAAAACAAAACTAGACATTTAAACAATTTACATCTTGATTATTCATGACTACAAATATATTAACCCTAACCCTTCAGACCAACATCAAAAATAAAAAATAAAATGTGTAGAAACAAGAATAGAAACCTTTTCTTAATGGTGTCACATAAACCTGTAAAAGTGCAATAGTGAATCAATGCATACAATAAAAATAATTAATATAACATCTTTTTCTTCCTTTCAGCTCTAATATAAGTCTCATAGAACAAAACATGGACATGTGACTTCATGTCTAATTACTCTATATATAAAAAAACATCATATCTAAGTATTTTATGAAAATATTACTTTTTGGAAATGTTTCTGAAGATACATGTGGTAATTTAATGCACAGGCAATGTGCCTGTCGATATAAAATGTTCAAAAGTACCATTCAAATAGTTTCATTCAGTTTAAAGTGCTTTACACCCAAATGAAAAATAAAGGAGACTAAAATCTGTCACAAGTAGAAAAAACTAAAGTGTTAACGAAAGCAATTTTTCTCTTTGCCCTGTCAGCATTTCCTGACCTGCAGGTTCTAAGTCTTGCTGCAATCTATTGAACATTAAGTGCATTTCTTTAACTCTAATCTCACGACATAACATTTGTATTTTCACATCTCTTTCAAATGTAAAAATTATTTCAAATTAAAACATTTGAGTTGTGTGTCCAGTCATTGATGATGTATGAGGACCAGTGACTGGAATCTACAAATCTACGTTTGTAACAATTGCTGCAAAACAACTCAAACTAAAAACCAATAAACATAAAGTGTGAAGAACTCTTTAAACTGTCCTGCAGCACATAGACACGTGAATGACACAGCAACAGCACAACACAAATGAATTTAACACAGATTCTGTTCCTGATTTGGTCACAACAATCGACTTTTGTTAGTCGTCAGTCAAAAAAATCTAGAAATGATATAAGATTTCTTATACTGTATCAGCAGGCGTGGTGGTTACAGGAAATATAATAATAATAATAAAACCTTGAAGTCCTGGTATCAATCTAGTTTTAGACCTGAAATATATTTGATGTGATATGTGAAATAATGTGACAGTGTGAGTTGTTTCACAGAAGCAAACATGATCTTTTCACAGTATTAAAAACAACATATCTGACCTAATCACTGAGAACTCTGTTGAACTGTTGAAATCAGTGTGAACGAGTTGGTGAACACGTGTCTGATCAGTTTAAGGAAGTTCACACCAAGTTCACTGTTTGATGAAATCCACTGGTCGACGACATTCGACTGCTTTCACCTGTTTGTCGGACTGAGCACCAGCGCCCCCTGCAGCCTCACGAGGGGATGAATTCTTTTGGTCTTTAAGTTTTCGTGTATAGAAACAAAGTCAATCAACTGTGTCTCGTACTGAACTGAAACACAACCGAACGGGGATATTACCCATGATCCCCGGCTTCCTTAACCAGAAGAGCTGCCGCTGTAGCAACTTCACAAAAACTGTTGAGAATTCTTTAGATTTTAAAAGTTTCCAGCTGAATCTTGGAGATGAACTCAGATTTTTTTAATGACTTCTGAGTCTTTTGAACTGATCTGCACTTCATCATCACCCTTGAACTAGATACTGACAATTAAAGCTGCGACTGTTCCACACTTCTCGTGATGAGGAGTGAGAGCAAAAGAGAAAACATTTTAAAACGTTTCCTATTTTGGGGTTAAAAAGATGCACAGTTTTGCTTTAACGTCTCATAAAATGCTAATAATAATAAAAATATTAAACTTGTGTTACGTCGTGTAACAGCATTACAACAAGAGCATTACAACTTGTTTCCTGAGGTGCCTCCAGTTACAGGAAGTGAGTCTCCTGCTCATTTCATGTTTCAGTTCCCGTCTGACTTGTACTGATTTTAACTCTGCTGGTGAATCAGTCGCCCTGAATCCTTCGGTAGCATTGATTAGACCGAGGTGATCTGCATCTGACAATGCTGGAGGGAGGAAACAAGAGAAGTTTGTGGCTCAGGTTTTATCATAGCAACAAGAATTTTAGGTAAATCTGATATTCTGATGTGCAGCAGTCTACCTGATGGGAATCATTCCCAGGACAGTAAAGATGCTGGAGAGAGTGAAGACGAAGCCTGGGAACCAATCCAGGGTTCTCTGGTAGATCTTAGTATAGGCAGGGATGTAGGCCAGACCGGCGAACTTCAGAGTCAGCTGCAGGGAGGTGAGAGTGGTGCCTGATGGGAAGGGAGGAGGAGTGAGGAGTAGTTTGACCCTTTGGAGAAATTAGCTTATTTATTTACCAGGAGTCAGATAAAAAGATTAATATCAGTCTCATGTCTGTGCAGTAAATATGCAGCTGCCATTAACTGCTGGGTCACAGCTTAGAGTAAATATGTTTTGAAGAGTAAGTGTGGTCGCACCAAATATTGATTTAATTAAAGTTTTCGCTCCAGCACGATTACACAAAAACCACAGGGCGGATTTCCTCTTAACTTGGTGCAGAGTCAGAGTATTAGTGAAGAAAGAACGTATTCACTGTTGGTGTGGATCTGGAGCTTTTAACATTTTCACCAATTCACCCAGAGATTAGATCTGGATCTTGATGAATAAATGTCATATTTAGATGTATTCAGATATCTATGAGACTTTGGTGCAAAGTTTGGGACTGTTGGGCAGATACTGTATGTGCACTACTGAGAGGAATTTTATTTTCCTTGTTGGTGTGTGTGTGTGGTCTGGAAACAGATTGGTATTTCAGGTGTTTGCATTGGACTGAGATCACGTCTAAGCAAACACACTGAAAAACCCCTGTAAATAAATAACCCAGTGATAACTCCAGCACACATCACTAATCTGTGTGTGTATGTGTAATTCTAAAATCTCTGTGCAAAAATCTGGTAGTTGTCTTTTTTGGTAATTTAAATGGCCGGACCCTTTAATAATCTAAAACAGTTTGCGACTGTCGGTAGCAGCTGTGGCTGTTTGTGGGGACACCATCTTCAGCACACACACACACACAGGCTGCAGACTCACCATATGAGGATGATGGAACCTGCTGTGAGAGCAGAGATCTGATCGTTGGCATCGGAATGAGAGCAAACAGGTTGAGCGAGCGAGCTGCGGAGAAATCAACACTCATTATTTTTCTCTCCCTCTCGTTCCCCCTCCCCCCTCAACGTTAACAAGATGCACAATGAGAACACCCTGGAACAGATACGTCTCTGGATTAATAGACTGAACATGCAAGGACATGAACAGCGTCTGGTGTATCGAGCGCGTGGGGAAGAATAAGATGTTTATGACTTCTACTCACTGTCACTTCCTGATCTTGGTTCCTATTTTTATGATTTTCACAACTTAAATCCTCTTAGAACCGTTTGTGATAGATTCACAGATTTACTTCTAACACAGATCATTTGAATTCACTTCCCCTTTGTTACTCTTCGAGAACGAACATAAACACTTTTCTGAAAAATGAAAAAAAAAAGAAATACAAACAAAGTATTTTAACTCTACAGCAGAAATGATAATAACCCAAACAATTCTCCATCGGTGACAGATCTGTGGAAAAACGTTGACCTTTAACCTTCAATCAGTTTTCCAGGCATTCCTGAGATAACGTGTTGACGACAACGGGACAACTGACAAATGGACGGATAACCTGAACCCTAATGTCTCCGTCCAAAGCTACCACCGGCAAAGAAGCTTCAAAATTCTGATTCCAGCTTCTTAAATGTTATAATTTGTTTTCTGAGTTTATTCAGGATTTGAACTAAAAAACAAACCAAACTGAGGACGTCACCTCAAACTCTGAGAGATTAGAAGCAAGTATATGCAAAGTTATGAAAAGAAGTTGTATTATTAATCCAGGATTTAACCTGATGAATCAATATAATCTTACAAATCTTGAGGAGGTGATTATAGATTGTGCTTCTGTTGTATTTTTCCAAGTAAAAGAAAACGGCGTCACGCAGGGGGACGCGGTCTCACCGAGGTAGAACATGTAGGTTGTTGTGACGAAGGACATGAAGTAGATTCCCGAGGCGAAGGAGACCATGCCGATCAGGATGAGCGTGACGTCGCTGAAGCAGCGGCGAAACAATATGACCCCGACGAAGCTGGTGAGGAAAATAATGCAGCCGGCTGCGTTCCCATAACCGACCTGGAGGAAGATTTAAAAAAAGTTAATGAAAGAAAGAAAGAAAAATAAGAAAATAATTATTACTGAACAAAATACCCAAACAAAAATTGGGAAATGTTACCTGAGTGGCGCTCCAGCTGAGCGGCTCTTTCAACACGAACACGCCCAGGATTTCTACTGCTCCGCCCACAGCGAAGTCGTACAGGAAGGCGGTGGCGAACAGCAGAACCATGTTCACCCTGTTGATTCCTCCAGGCGCCTCTGCAAAGGCAGCGTTATCGGATGTGGAAGAGAGGAGGTGACCGTTCTCATCACTGCTGGACACTTTCACCTTCAATCAAGACGGACACACACACTTAAAGGTTCAGTGTGTAGAATTTAGTGACATCTAGTGGTGAAGTTGCATGTTGCAGCCTCCCCTTCCAATCATGGAAGAGAACCTGTGGGAGCTTCAGTCATCATAAAAACTCAAAAGATGTTTAGTTTGTCCAGTTTGGGCTATTGTAAGACTCCCTGCTGAATTAAGGGACAAAAAGATGAAGACAATTTGAATATCACAAAGGAAACAATCACAACACACACGTCACACTTCCACTTCCTCTTCCTATCACACACACACACACACACTGACCTGCAGCAGCACTATGGAGTGGATGAAGATGAGCAGGTTCAGCAGCGTGCTCACGATGAGCAGGACGACTCCGTCTCCCAGAGTCGAGCTGTTCACCAGGAACAGATGACCCGAGATCAAGCTGCCCACCAGACCGGCCGCCCCGTACAGCAGCTCCACCCTCATCAGCACCTGCAGGACACCCAGCCTCCTTATAAACCATCCACACCTCACGTCCAAACTCAACCCGATGGGGAACGTTGCTGTTGATCTGAATGTATGAGTTTCTCTGTTGTTGTCACCGGTGCCGCTTGGCCAATTTGCAGGATTTTGCAATAACCACAGATTTCTTCTTTCACTTTCAGTGTATCAAAAAGTACCTACTTACTTTTACTCAGGTAGAAAGGTAAACGTGGTACTTTTACTTTGACTTGAGTACATTTGAGATGAATTACTGATGTATTGATATAGATTAGAGGTACAGGGTTAACCAGGCACCCCTCTTGACTCCTTCATCATTTGTTAATTCATCTTTCTCATTGAAAGTTTTTTCATTTTTCATTCTTGTTTTGTTCTTTCTACAAATATATTTTATGTTTTTTTAAAATGTTCCAAACAATTAAACCAATCAAATCAAGCATGAGGCTGTAGAGTGGCATTTGTTGTAAAAGTGTAAGAATAATGAGTTATATTATTATCATTATTATTATTATAAAACTTACATTTAACCTTTGGCTTCCTCTTGATTTTGTGTGTCGCCATCATTTATCTTCCCTTTAGTGTTTTGTTCTTACCTTTAGATGATGTATTCATCTTGTAATCGTTTTAATTGAGGGACATTTAAATGACTGTTACCTTGGAGCGGTCAGTGGCCGTGGAGCCCAGCGACGCCAGCGTCATGACGCCGGGCCAGAAGGCGCTGTAGCCGCCGGACAGCCCGAAGAGAACCGCCGCCCCGAACATCAGCTGCACCGGCAGCCCGACGATGAGCACCAGGAGCAGCCCGAGCCGGGACAGCACGTACCCGCCCAGGGGCACCACGATGGGGGCCTTCCTCCTGCCTCGGTCGCTCAGCTTGGCCAGCAGCAGCGCCGGTAAGATGGGGACGAGGCTGACGATGAGGTTGTAGGTCATGTAGAAGTCGGACATGGCTCTCTGCCGACTCGCCTCCTCGGACAGACCCGGGTACGAGGCGTTGGAGCTTCGGTCTCTGACGACCAGCAGCAGCGCGGTGTCGAAGAAGCAGCTGGCCAGCTGCTCCAGCACGACGACCGTCTCAATCTGACGGACCACCGCGAAGATCATTTGACAGCAGCTCGGCAGCACCATGATTTTAACCAGGGTGTTGACAGAGCGAAGCCTCAGGCAGAGAGAGAAGCAGAAGTCTGGAGGATCTGGAGGATGTTTGAACACACGAACCAGAGAAAACCCTGCAACACCCACTTCCTCCTCCACAGTCCAAACTGAAAGTAACTCAACATCTCAACATCTCATTTTATGTTTTTAATCTCCAAGAAAACTGCCTCTGAGATCCTGTTGTTGTTTTGACTGGTTGGTTTTAATGGATTTTTCCTTCAAGACACATTTTTCTTTTACTTTAACAATATTATACTTAAAATGACAGTTTGACCAAAAGATGCAGTCATCATCCACCCACCACTGTGCAGGTGGAGTGGTGGGTGAAGAGTCCAAGAAACACTTCTGGAGTTTCAGGGGTGAACAGCATTGAATCCAATGCAGTTGAAGTAAATGGTGACCAATTCTTCAAACGTAGAAAAACAATAGAAAAAAAACATGACATGCCTCCATACTGCTAATGTGATGTCATCCAAGTGTCCTTGAGCCCCAGCGTTCGAATTCGACTTGAAACGAGGTGAAGTTTTTATCCTAAACGAGGACAACAACAGACATTTGTTCGTCTCACTGGTGTCAAAATAAAAGCGTGTGAGTGCAAATGAACCACTCAGACACACAACATCTACACGTTTTGTTTTTAATGAGAAAATATTCATAATATGTATAGTAGGTGTATAACTGTGAGCCTTACACGTGCTATAAAATAACAAAGCAGAGTATGAGCATACAAGTGGTTAACATAGGGACAGAGGTTATACACGTACACGTGATGGATCAAGATTGTTTTGTCACACACTGAAGCTCGGTGTGAGAACAAGCTACCAGCATTTTTAAATGATAAATTAATCTTCTCTGCACCGTCAGTTCAAACAACAAAAGCAGAATAAT